TTTCCCACCATTGGCCTTGTGTTGATGTTGCTTTGTGTACATGTCCTTCATTTCTGATAGAAAAAGACACCGTGCCTCATTTATACAGATAAGTACACTAGACTATAGTGGGGCTGCCCAATTTACCCATCGTAAATTGAAAATATCCTAAGTCAAAAATGCATTTGGTACAACTAACCTATTGAACGTCTCAGCTGTGAGCCTGGCCTACCTTAGATGTGCTCAGAACATTTACGCTAGCCTACAGTTGGGCAAAATCATTTCACACACACTCTATTTTATAATTAAGTGTTGACTATCTCAGGCGGTTTACTGAATGCTGTACTGAAAGTGAGAAACAGAATGGACTGTGGTTTCTACATCTTTTGTACCATTGTAAAGTTGAAAAGTCAGAAGTTGAACCTCATGAGCTGGGATCGTCCTGAATGCCTTTTATTCAATCATTCATTGATTCATTTATCACTTGCCCAACCAATGTTTATCCAGTACCAGTTGGGCCCTTCAAGTCCAGAGAGGGGGAAAAACTGACACAATTCTTCAGTGTAGACATAAGGAAGACAGATGTGAAAAGTTAACTTCCATACTATTTAACAAACGACATCTAATGATGCTAGGAATGACACTTCATATTACACTGACACACTTACTGTATATCAGTCGCTGTTCTAAGAGCTCCTTATCAACCTGCTTTGTTTTCTCAGAAGAACTGTATAGAATGGAACTCTTATCCCAATATGACAGGCTCTGAGAGGTTTAGTCCAGAGTCATGGGTGTGGCAACCCTGTCTGAATGTACAAAAAATTATGGAAGCATAAAGAAAGGCCTGTGGAGGGTTTTTTTGGTTTTTGTTTTTTAAATAGAATTTAATTTTTAGAGCAGTTTTAGGCTCACAGCAAAGCTGAGTGAAAGTACAGAGATTCCCTGAATCCCATTTTCTCCACCCACTCACAGCCTCCCCCACCATCAAGATGTGTTTCTTTTGGGCTGTCCTTTGGGTAGTAGGGGTTTGATAGATTCTTTACTGGATAACTGAGGGAGACAATTAGTTACTGATGATTTTGTTTCTACCACCAAAAAGTATTAATAGTAAATAAAATAGACTAACCTTAAAATTCATGGAAGAAGTTGTGAATGACTCAGTTTCAACAATCAGACCCCCAAATTCCAGAATAAGTTTTATGCCTTTAAATGTAGGAATGTATTGAATTTCTTGTTACAAAATACAGCTGTGTTATTCCTTAGCATTTTAAGAAATTAATGGACTTTATTTTTTTATGGCAATTTTAGTTTCCCAGGGAAATTGAGCACAAAGTTCAGAGAGATCCTATGGCCGCCTGCTGCTCCCCCACTCCACTATCCCCCACTCTGCTATCCCCCATTCTACTATCCCCCACTCTGCTATCCCACACTCTGCTATCCCACACTCCACTATCCCACACTCTGCTATCCCCCACTCTGCTATCCCCCACTTCACTATCCCACACTCTGCTATCCCACACTCCACTATCCCCCACTCTGCTATCCCCCACTCCACTATCCCCCACTCCACTATCCCCCACTCCGCTATCCCCCACTCCACTATCCCCCACTCCGCTATCCCACACTCCTCTATCCCACACTCCGCTATCCCCCACTATGCTCCCCCACTCTGCTATCCTTCACTGTCAGCATCTCCTAGCACAGGGGGACATTTGCTGCTGTTAATGAACCCACACTGACATATCATTATCACCCAATTTTTTTTGCATTTTGAAAGAAGAAATTACTCTCCTATTGTAGAGAGAGGACTATACATTTATCTCCAATCAATTGTCTATAGAAGAGCAGCTGGAAGTTAGACTGAAATCTAATTTGGGTGGTTACTAGCCCTTAGACACAACATTTTGTTCCATCACTTTTCAAAAAAAAAAACAAAAAAACTGCTTGATTCCTATAAAAGCTACCATAATAGGTAATATGTTTTAATCAAAGCTATCTTAATAGATATTATAGGGCTCCCATATCTCAGTGGTTAGTGGGCTGGCCACATTCTCCAGGGCTGGTGGGTTTGAACCCAGCCCAGGCCTGCTAAAAAAAAAAAATAGCCGGGCATTGTAGTCCCAGCTACTAGGGAGGCTGAGGCAAAAGAATAGCTTGACCCCCAAGAGTTTGAAGTTGCTATGAGCTGTGATGCTATAGCACTCTACCAAGGGTGACCAAGTGAGACTCTGTCTCAATATGTATAGACTTTTAGTAAGGTAGCCCCAGGGAAAATAGACTTCAAGCTCCATAAAACCTAAAGCATCTTGCACAGCATACAGTGTCAGAGTCGCTTCTCAGTAAATATTTGTTAAATAAATTATTTGTGTTCATCTAGCAGTGAACAGAGACTATGATGTTTAACTCAAACTATTCATAAACATGATTTTCAGTGGTGGGAAGAGCAGAATTTTTCCTTGTTAAGTACTTAGGGTTTCATATGGTATTGAAAGAGGAAAATAGAGGCAATTGAGCTATGGCTAGCATAGGTAGGATTTTTGTATATCACAAAGAACACAGAACCCCAAACGTGCAACTACAGTTTTTAAAAATTTCTCTACTTGTACTTTTAAGAAAATTTTCTTTAATGATCAAAAAATCCATTATGTTAATAGAAAGCCCATATATTTTCTTCACGGAGTAAAAATGCCAATCACTTTGTTTTTATAGGATTAGAAAATTTTCATTTCCTTTGGATATCCAACTAATGCTTCTCTTTCCTGTGTCAAAGCACTTTTCACTTATCTCTATTTTGGTACTGATCTTTTTAATCAAGGTTATTTACGAGAGCTGCTCTTGCTGCCAATCCACAAGGAAAGAGAGAGAAATGTTTGTTTGTTGTTTTGTCGATTACTTTCTTTCTTTTTTTTTTTTTTTGAGACAGAGTCTCGCTTTGTCACCCCCAGTAGAGTGCTGTGGCGTCATAGCTCACAGTAACCTCAGACTATTGGGCTCCAGCAATTCTCTTGCCTCAGCCTCCTGAGTACCTGGGACCAATGCCCGGCTATTTTTAGAGATGGAGTCTCCCTCTAGCTCAGGCTGTTCTCGAACTTGTGAGCTTAGGTGATCTACCCACCTCAGCCTCCCAGAGTGCTGGGATTACAGGTGTGAGCCACCGTGCCTGGCCTTATTGACTACATGTTTAACTTCTTCATTCACTCTACATTTTGCACAAGGCCAGGCACAGGCCTAGGCACTGCCTGCACCTGAAGTGTAGAGATGTTTATAATTCACGTGATAAGCTCAAGGAATGGGGAATTACAGGTGCATGGGAGCGCAGTGTGGGAGCTTCCTGATTGTAGAATGACTGGATAGGCAAGCACAATGACTCACACTCTAATCCCAGCACTCAGCACTTTGGGAGACTGAGGCGTGAGGATCCCTGGAGGCCAGGAATTTGAGACTAGCCTGCTCAGCATAGTCAGATCCTGTCTCTACAACAAACAAATGTTGGCTGGGTATAGTTCTGTAGTCTCAGCTACTTGGGAGGCTGAGAAAGGAGGCTTGCTTGAACCTTGTAGTGAGCTATGATTGCACGACTGTGCTCCAGCCTGGGCAACGGAGACCCACTATGTCTCTTAAAAAAGGAACGGCCTTATAGAGGTCTCACTGCAAAGCTTAAAGGGGAGTGGGTCACCCAGGCAAAGAGGAATTTGGGGAGACAGCCAGGGAAGTGCATTCTGGGCAGAGGGCAGCAAGTACATAGTCCAGGAGATTAGACGCTTTACATAACCTTTTTAATCTTAACCTCTGGGAAATAAGTGTTACTACCTCTTTAGTTTCAGTCGTTTCCTCCAAGAATATTTACACTTTTGCTGTCTGACTTATCACCCGGGGTAGGAGGTGCTGGGTGTACCCTGAGCAGTCATCTGGAAGGCTGAGAAGGGAAAAGCCAAGGGCAAGAGAAAGGATTGAAACTCTAGAGAGGCTAATCAGAGAGATGCTTGACTGGATATTACGGTACTGTACTGATGGCCGGCTCTGATAACGCAGGACATCCCTGCAGCTGACTGCGATCCCGGCCGTGATCTGCACTTCCTGACTGGTGGCAGCTCATTCACCTTTCCCACCTGCCAGCCTCCATCGATTTTGTCTTGGCGCTTGTCTCCTGTGTGAAATAAACCAGCTTTTCATCTACATTCCTGGAAATCAGCATATCTCTCTATTAATTTAGCTCACTGCATATTCCCTTTCCTTTCCAAATCAGTGACCTGTTCTGTGTCAGGCCCTCTGTGTGTGCCAGAGGAGTGGCAGGGCTCAGCAGGGCACTACCCCGAGGCTGCCACTCAGGTCCTGCTGGGGCCTAGGGAGGATGTGGGGAGGGACACCCCCGCCATGCTGAGAGGGAGGTGTCTGCTAGGGCTGCCATAACAAAGTCCCACACGCAGGGTGGCCCAACAACTGGAATTCATTCTCTCACAGTTCTGGGGGCTGGAAGCCAGAGATCAGGGTGCTGGCAGACTTGGTTCCTTCTGAGGCCTCTCTCCTCAGCTGGTAGACGGACATCTTCTCCTGTGTCCTCACCTGGTCTTCCCTCTGTCACTGTGCCCAAATTTCTGAATCTTTGCATGACGGCTCACGCCTGTAATCCCAGCACACTGGAAGGCTGAGGCAGGTGCATCCCCTGAGCTCAGCAGTTCAAGACTAGCCTGCGCAAGAGTGAGACCCCCATCTCTACTAAAAATAGAAAAATCAGCTGGACACTGTGGCAAGTGCTATAGTCACAGCTACTTAGGAGGCTGAGGCAGGAGAATCACTTGAGCCCAAGAGTTTGATACTGCTATGAGCTATGATGATGCCACAGTACTCTACCCAGGGCGACAGAGTGAGATTCTCTCTCTCAAAACAGTAACAACAAAACCCCCACACTCTCATGACCTCATTTACTCAGAATTAACTCTATAAAGATTCTATTTTCAAATACTGTCACATGCTGAGGAACTGGGGGTTAGGACTTTGGGAGGGCACAGTTCAGCTCGTCACAGCATACAATTCATTTCATGTCCTGTTTCATAAATTAGGAAACTTCGCTGGCTATAACTGCGGAGACTGCAAGTTTGGCTGGACTGGCCCCAGCTGTGATCGGAAGAAACCACCAGTCATCCGGCGGAATATCCATTCCTTGACTCCTCAGGAGAGAGAACAGTTCTTGGGTGCCTTAGACCTTGCCAAGAAGACCGTCCACCCTGACTACGTGATCACCACACAGCACTGGCTGGGCCTGCTGGGGCCCAATGGGAGCCAGCCGCAGGTGGCCAACTGCAGCGTTTATGACTTTTTTGTGTGGCTCCATTATTATTCTGTTAGAGATACATTATTAGGTGGGTATTTTCCCCCCTTGGCTTGAGGTATATTATTGAAGGTTTGTGATTGCACTGGGGGCCATATGGTGGCAGAAAGTAATTTCATGCAAGTTAATTAACAAGAGAGAACCTCAAGGCAGGGTCAGGTTTATGAAAGTCGTAGAATGATCAAATACTGCCTGAAGTTAGAACGGACTAGTTTCTCCCCGCAGATTGGCTACAGACACTTTAACTGTTCTCTCCTCCACTTTATGTTCTTGGTTCAAAGTCTAAACTGTTCTCTATGAAGCCATTAATCATCAAAGGCATGAGTTGGTGGAGGGGAGGCAAATTCCTTTTGATTCCAGAAGAAAATATTTGTAAATCTGGCTGTGGAAGCCCTCTCTGACCTTTTCTTCGAATTAGAGGAATTAACCGAGCACGTGGCCAAGCTCAGGAAGCCTCTTTGTGCAGAATTAAGAGTGTTCATGTAGGAAGTGTGTGTGTCATTAAACTCACACAATAGATAAACTCTAGATAGACTTGAGATAGTCCACGGCATGATTGACAGACTTTCAGATAATCATGTACGGTACTTCTGCACCGCCAGGTTTTTAGGGAGAGTTTCTCCTGCTCAGCCCTTTAAGCCAAAGTTATGATGGATGCCTGAGAAAAATGATCCCTGGCCTTTCCAGGTCCTAAAAATTGGGACCTGGGTGGGACTTGGAATGGGGGATTATATGTTATAAATGCCATTGATCTGCTAAGTTTGGCTTTGTCCCTTCTAGTTTTCTTTCAATCAAGGGAAACAATAGATAGCAGCTTATTCTAGGAGGGCCTGAATCCATTCTAGAGTCTTCTCATAACAGTCCTAAGTGTCATGGCTCTGCCTGCAGCTGTCCCCACTTTTGGGGACTTTCATTGGGATCAGGAGGGCTGAAGACATTGAGTTCACTTTGAATAGCAGGATTTTCAGTGGGAATCCTTTCTCTGTGAGCTAATCACTTGTCCCTATCAATGGGCTCTCTTGATGTCCCCTTATTCCTTCTGTTTTGAGAACTTGAAACTTCGCTCTGGATTAAACATTAACAAAGGACTAGGTAGCCAATGTCAGCAACAGCCGCTCTTTCCTTAGCGTGAACCTTTGAAAACTTTCCTCACCGGTAAGCATCTGTCTTTCTTTATCGATGGATAAGAAGGCTCTTCTCTCCATAAACCTGATAGGTTTTTCTGTCATCATTTGGAGGAATTTTTGCTTTATGAGAGGGTAGTCTCTCAAGAGGAAAAGAAAACTATAGTTTCTGATCATACCTGGGCATTAAATTTACATTCATGTCTGTTCAGCTCTCTGAAGTTATTATAGGTACTTTGAAATAGAACTCAAGGTAGCTAGAGTGTCTACATAACCATCAAAAGCTGTTATGAACGAGAGAAGAAGGATGGAACAGGCAGTAGGAAGGTCATTAAATCGTCCAAAGCTTTTTACTAAAATTGACAGTTCTAGGGGCTAGCCAAAATGGTTTGAATGTATTTTTCCCACTTCTGGTCTCAGTGACCAGCTTGTCAGCTTGTCAGCAGTTATAACTGATCGGTGGATGAGGCAAAATGTGTGAAAGTTCTTTTTGGTTATATAAATTCTGCCTTAGGATTAAGTGTGATTGAAGTTGCTGTCCCGTGAATGAAACACCCCTCACAAATGTATGCATTTGTAAGGAGAAGGTTAGAAAATGTCTTTTAAAAATATATTTCATTTAGGTCTTAACGATCTCTTCTTTTGGATAATCTATTTCGTCTTCATGAGTTGTTGCTTGAAAAAAATTAAGGGGCTCTTAACCCTGGAAGCGACCTGAATTTCCTGGATTTCTGCAGGAAATCAAACCTTTAGGAGAAAGAGGAGAGTTTATTCTAAACGTGCTAGTTGCTCCTGAAATTCCTTTGTTGTCACTGTCATTGTTTTCAGAGAGATAAATAAGAAAATGTTTTCCTCATTAAAACATCACAGATTTATTGGCTCGGTGGAGGCATCCCAGGCAAGTTTAGCGTTTGAGAAGTTCTGTTCCTTGCTCTCTAATATGTTTCCTAACTGTTTCAGGACCAGGGCGTCCCTACAAGGCTATAGATTTCTCCCACCAAGGACCTGCCTTTGTTACCTGGCACCGGTACCATTTGTTGTGGCTGGAAAGAGATCTCCAGGTTGGTCGAAACTCCACAATGAGTTATTTTATGGTGCATACTTTCAGATGACAGCATGATGTTTTGACATGTTTATCTTGATACACATACACGTGCTGGAGCCCTTACTACAGTCAAGCCACTCGACATACCCAGCACCATGTACCGCTTTCTTTTTATATGTGTGTGTGTGTGGTTAGAGTGCGAACAATCTACTTTCTTGGCAAATTACCAGTACATGATACAGTCTATTAACTATAGTCTAGTACATTAGATCTCTAGACTTACTCATTTACTTAAATGCAAATTTGTACCTTTTAGCTTACGTTTTCTCACCACTTCTCTCTACCTCTGTTAACTACCCCCATTGTACTCTGTTTGTACATATTCCTGTTTGTTTTAAAGATTCAGCACATAAGTGATATTATGCAGTAATTTGCCTTCCACATCTCGCTTATTTCACCTAGCAAAATGCCCTCCAGATTCACCTGTGTGGCTGCAAATGGCAAGATCTCCTTTTCAAAGGCCGGATAATATTCCATTGCATACAGCATATGTAGACCACAATTTCTTCCTTTATCCATCTGGTACTTTTAATCTTGCTAGACACTTGGCAAGACCCATGTCAGTCTTTGCCTTGTATGTTTTCTTGTTGTGTCCGATGGCTTGAGTTAAATGACTGGGTCTGTACTTTGCTTTTAGAAACTCATTGGCAATGAGTCCTTTGCTTTGCCCTACTGGAACTTTGCCACCGGGAGGAATGAGTGTGACGTGTGCACAGACCAGCTGTTTGGGGCAGCGAGAGGAG